AATGGCACCATTCTGGATAGCTGTAAATCCAGATTTAAAAGCCTGTACAAACATGAAGAAGATGTTATACAAGTTGGTAAGTAGATTAGCCCTCCCTTTCCCGAGAATCAGTGCAAAAATTGCCATCTTGAGAGAAATCAGGTGATCCTCCCAGGAATATCCCTACATTTTTTGTAGGCTGACAAGACCACAAATTATCAGCTCAACAGACATATAGTGAGCTTGGTCTGGCTGAAAACAAGAGGCGAGTCCAGCAGTGCTGGAGTGAGAGTGCAGAAAATGGGAGTGTTTCACCAAGAATGTGAAAAAGCAGAGAAAAGGGAAGAAAGTGCGCATTTAGAGGGACCTGCAAATTAAAAGACAAATTAAAGGTCTGAGCTGGGGTGGATTTGTACCAGAGGAGAAAGCTGAGGGGATGTAAATGTGCAGTAGTCTTAGATATGCTAGAGGCATAGCACAGTTACTTGGAGGACATGGAAAACACACAAAGAGCACCTGAAGGTCACAGGACACTGAAGAAGAGCGAGTTGTGTCTTTTTGGACTGGGAGCACCTGTTGTGCAGGAAGAAGGCAGAGAAGTAGAAATACAAGTGCCTGAAGGGGAAAGGAAAGTGCAGAAGAAGAGAAAACATTTTGTGGATAAGTTGGAGTATTAGAGTGGTTTGTTTTGCAGGAGTAGGCAGCACAGAAGCCGGTAGTTCCATGTATTTAAGAGCAAGAAAGAGGAATGTTTTTATGGTGGAGAAATAACAGAGGAAGAAGAGGGATGAGAGTTTACAGCTTAAAAAACAATAGAATATTTGTTTAAGTGTTTGATACAGCTGAAATACAAGGAAAGAGAGGTGGGCTCTTTTGGATATGAAACAACCTGCAGAGATGGGGTATAAAGGGCCCCAGCACCTGTGGGACTGTGGAGTTGACAGACATTTGCAAGTTGATTGAGTGTTAAGAGCATTTGGAAATCATGTGCTAGCAGAGAAAAGGGAAATGTAGGGATACTGAAGTTACTGAGGACTCCAACTGTGAGATCAGATGACTTCAGAGGATCTGAGAACCTCTAAGGAAATTTGGAGTGTAGTGAGATTGGGGGAATGGAAAGAAGTACTGGGAGAAAGGAAAGAATGGGTCAGACCCTCCATGAAGGAGGAAAACTAAGCACAGGATGGTTGAGAAGGCAGGAAACACAGAGACAGAGGCATAGGCAGGCATACCCAGCTATCTGCTGAAAACTTGTCCCTCCAGAATGAGATAGTCACAATTTGACAGATATCAAAACTACTGTTTTTCCATAAAAATTAAGGTAATAGAGGAAATGCATGGAAGTACAACATAAGTGTCTAAGAAAGCCAGGGAAAAAATGAAAAAATGATCACTTGGAAAAATAACCAGCACATTTAGAAGAACTGAACTCTGCTTGCTGGAGGGTTTAGGGAAGCTGGACAGACAGGTGCAAGGTTTGTCTTCATAGACTGAGGTCAAAACAAGAATGAATTTGAGGAAAGGGTTACCAGGCTCTTTGGACAGGTTCATGAAAAGCTAAGGGGTGGAGATGGAGTACATCAAGGAATGAAAAGGGTAGCAGTGCTGTTGGTGAAAGGACAGAGGGGAACCACGGAGATCGGGAACATACCAGAGAGATGTCTGTGTTCAGTCTTGCAGTTCTTTGTACTTACCAATGTGCAATATTTAAAAGAGGCTTTTGAGCACAAGAGAGGAAAGTGCCTTCAGCTTTCAAGTACATGCTTAAAAGCAATGAACTAAAAAAAGCTTTTTTGGAGATTACAACAAATTTATTTAAAAAAATAGTACAAAGTCTTTTGGAAAAGAAGCCTGGTAGGAAAGAACATGAAAGGAAAGTGTCACTTTGGCCTCTGAAGAAATCATTTAGTGGGTCTGTGCACTGAAGGAAAGGATGTTATGGGCTTGGTCATATTTGAGCAAGTAAGGGTGTTCTCAATAGGTGCTGCACTCTATCTCTGGCAAAAAAATAGGTCAAAGATTATCAGAAGTATGGAGGCTGAAGTATCCAACAGTCACAGCTGAGTTGCCTATTTGTAAAACCTATATCTTTACCTATTACATCTCAGAGAGTAATTATTTGCTAAGAGGTCAGAACAAAGATAAAACCTCTATACCTCCCCATTATTGCTTCTCTTCACCAAGTTAAGGCTTCCAACCCCAGTGGATACATCGAGCAGGGACCTCTGTCCCTTCACAGGAAAGCTAGGTCCATTAAACAAATGCTGACGCTACATTTCTACTCTGAAGAAAAATCTGTCTTCCCCACTATCATTTGGTTACGCTCCAGCTGAGACCACAAACCCCACCACTGATGAGAACTTGCAGCCTGCTTTGATCAGTGCCCAGAGACCTCAGGAGAGGCCAGAGCAATGCTTTAGGCATCTAGAAATATGAAGGTTTAAGGTATATCCATTTAAGAGCAGTATAGTTGAGGCTTTTCTTCCATCAAATCCAAAGACATCAGGATGAAAGAATTGATATGGGAGCTGCATGTTGCAGAGAATAGTTTGAGTTGGAAGGGACCTTGGAGATCATCTTAGTTTCAACCCTGTGCCATGGGCAGGGACACCTTCCACTTGACCAGGTTGCTCAAAGCTCCAGCCAACCTGGCTTGAGCACTGCCAGGGATGGGGCATCCACAACTTCTCTGGGCAATCTGTTCCAGTTCAAAGGCATGTTAAACATGTTTCATGTTTAAAGGCAGAGCTTGAATTTTTAATTAGACCTATGAAGAACCATTCTCCCAAAGCCTTGGCCTTGCTTTTAAAGCACATTTTAAACCATGTTTTGTCCAGGTTAACAGACTCTGCAGGAGCAGCAGAAATGCTGATATGTTAAAGGATGGCACCTCAGAAGATGAGCTCCCAGCAGAGCATGGTATTTCCAACACCTACTATAGGATTTATGGTTAAACATGCAACTCTTTGCAAGCATCCACATGACTCATGAACTGGGCTCAACCCTGGGGCAACTTTCAGCAGTATGTTCAGCTCCAGCTCTGTGTTCCAGCTGGCCAGCTTTGGAAAATGAGCATTCAAGTCCCCAGGTTTGGCTAGAGACTTTGAGACTGCACAGTGAACAGTCTAAAAATGCATCTGTCCTAAGAAACATTTTCCCTATCCCCCTATATGAATGAGGCTGGGAACTGACAGGAAGACAACACACAAATTGGCAGGAATTGTAGCATGACTAGTTTGTTCAGGTTGTGCAGGCCCGAACTGTGTGAAATTTTAGACTGTACATGCTGCTTTAATCCACCAGCCAGTCCAGACACCCTCCTTTCACAGGAAAGCTTTCATCTTTGAGGAATTAGTCTAGCCGCCTTGCTCCAAATTCACCATTTTGAATTGTTCTGGTGTGTTCATTGTTCTGGTAGGATTTTGGTGATGTTTAAGACTGGACAAAGATTGATCATAAGGGAACTCCAGGCTACAGGGAATACTGTTTTACAGACTAACCTTTGTAGCAGTAGAGGCCGATAAGGACACAAATACCTAATTTTAAAATAAGTCCGCACGGGACAAAGATCTGTCATTTCTTTTTAATGAGTTTCAAGTGTTTCAATGAGTTTTATTGTTTCAAGTGAAGCAAAACAATGGGGCACTTACCTTTATTCCAGTCATGCTCTAAGATATGCTGTGAACAGGATCCTATTCTTGGAGTTCATTTGGATCTTGAACTTATATTCCAACACCAATGGAGAATTGTTTTCTGGGCTTAAGGATCTGAGGTTATTGAAACCCAAAAAGACAACACAGCCTGAGAGCTAGAGCTGTCACTAACACACTCGAATGCATAGGAAGGTAGTCCCCTGAATAGGACACAGCAGCTGGATGTTTGGTGGCTGGAAGTAGAGTTAGCTTGGGCAGACTTACTCCGGAGCTGCTGGTTCGTATGTTTTGTTACAGACTTACCAGAGTCAGTCCAGCACAACTGGAACTACCATCATTTTTCAATGGAAAACCAGCCACTGCTTTGAGGGCCAGAACTTCAGGTATGTGTATGCTATGGAAGTGACAAAAAAAAAAAAAAAAAAAAACATTCCAAAACCAGTTTGGCATCCCAACCCCTCCCCACTCACTGACAGACCAGACAGACTCAATAAGGTGGTGAATTGTGTTTCTTAGAGACCATTAAAAGTACATGAGCTGATTTCTAGAACATGCCAGAGGAGATTACAGTTGTGTTTATAAATTAAATAAATAAACTGCACGTGCATAAGTGGCTGTAATGCAGCGGGCAGCAGAGTCCCTCGCTTTTACTCAGAGGGCCTTGGTGATTTGTTTTGCCCATGCACAGAGACAAAGGAGGGGAAAGGGAGCACAGGAGGAGGCAACATACAACATCTAAGAGAAAGAAATGAAAGAGACAGCCTAGGGGGAACCTCAGCCCCCAGAGAGACAGGAGGAATGGGGCACCAAAGGCTTGTTTAGAAGAGTTCGAGAGAATTGCTGGTCTGGGGGCCTCAAGCTTGTATGCCTACCCCCTAAAATGACAGCAGTAAGTAGCACAAGCAGGCCCTGGCTCCTCTTCAGTAGATGCACTTCCGACCATCCATCACATCTCAGTTCCACAGGGAATTAGGGAAGTGCTCAGGGGACGTGGGCTGCTTCACTCCAGATCTTCATCTCTGCCCTCCCCCAAGGTGGATAGGAATGGAATTGCAGGGAGATGAACTTGAGCAAATGAAATGCTGGGGCATGGAAGTGAGCATGCAAAACCTAATCCCTTGCCAGATGCCCTGTGAGGAAGAAAGGGGCTTCCCCAGCACACCAAATGAAACAAAAAACATCTGCTCCTCCCATCTTTTGTACTTTGCTCCCATCTAGGAACTCTGGTGATGTTCTCCCCATCTCCTCTCATGTCTAAACAGATTCCAGTGTATTCTAGAACAGAAGCAGAGCTTTCTAAATTAAAGGAGCACTCTCTTTCCAGTCTAGATTACAGGCTACAGCTCAGATTTCTTTTTTTTAAAAAAAAAAAAAAAAAAAAAAAAAAAGACAAGATACACATTCCTTGGAAGACTCTACAGAAACAGGGCAGCTCATTTAATGCCATGTCTGACAACACACTGAAGCAATTCACAGCTCTTGTTACTTTTGATGGAGAAGAACAAGGGGATTCCTTACAGAATGACAGAGCATTCCACACTGCAAGTTCACTTACAGCAGAGACCACCCTGGATCTAAATTCAGGAGAATCCATAGCAAGTAGGAGGATTTCAGCTTGATAGATCTCTAGAGACCTAACATCTGCTGTCACTTTGCAATATCCATGCCTAAAGCAGCATTTCCCTTTGAATCCCTAGGTAACCATTTCAAGTATTTTCCTACTCCTGCTGAAAGTTAGTGTTTTGTGGCAGCAGAAATGGAACAGATACTCTTAATCAGAAAGCTATGCCGCTCATTCAGTTTCATCTGGAATATCACAAGTCCCCTTCACCTCCATTTGCTACAGCAGTGAGCTTCCTTTGACATCCAACCCAGTAACACAAAAGCAAACACCCATTCCCATTCTGCCCCAAGGTCTTCCTTCAAGAAAGCTACAAGATAGTAGAAAGCTACAGGGTCCTGGCTTGTGTGTGCATAGATGAAAGGAGTATTTGACAACTCCCACCAGACTAATTATTGTTCTTTTGTTCTTTCTGGAGAGAGACTTTACTCTTACACATGCCTTTTAGATAATAACAATGCCCCTTTCACTTAACTGTGTTTAGCCTGTTGCACTTGACTGAGGTAATCATGTAGGCTCGCCTTTATAAAACTTGAAATGGCCATGTTCAGACATCAAGTCATCTGAAAATAAGGACAGGTAGAATAAATCATTTAAGTGCTCATCTCTCCATGGCTAGAGAAATCCACATCACTATGTCTAGCTTAGTCAGATGACTCACAGTCACTGGCTATCACTAGCCTTTATCTCAGAAACTCAATGAAAAGCTCAAGTCATGCTGCCACTCTTTTTAGGCAGAACACTAAAGAATCTCACATGCTGAAGTCCTTCATCCCCAAAGGCACTGCGTTAAGGCATTCTTATTTTGCAAGAGTTCACACAGGCACTATTTGACAAGCTCACAGCTGAAAATAAACCCCCAAAATTCCCTGCAGAAGAGCAGAAGCAAATAGCTACCCACTCCTCCTTATTTCCCTTTCCTCTAAACATAGAGGACCCTCCCTAAAGCTGCAGCAACTGTTGAAAAGTCTAGCAATGTTTGGTAAGCGGCTCAGAGTCCTATACAGAAGACAGATTAAAACCAATAAAGAAATCAATGAAGAAGCTAGGTGAAAGGGAAGGAAAGGGAAGGAAAGGGAAGGAAATGAAAGATTTGGAGGCAAGAATAGACAGGCAAGGTGATAGGGGACAGTAGGTTGCAGACTGAAGGAGCTACATTTAAGTAAAAAAGTAGACTGGAGACAAAGCAATAGGGAAAAAAAAGGAAAGAACAAAAGGGCAAGTTATACCAAAGGTCCCTCAGAGACCTCCAAACTACCCACCAGGGAAGGGACTTGCCAACCCACCCACTCCAGGGAAAAGGCCCCTCATACTTACAAGTTTACCTGACCTTGCAGGCAGAATTTCCCATTTCTACAATGATGGCATCACCAATTCTTTCTATTACTATGTAAAGTATGCTATTTCTGCAATAAGTGAGGGAATTCCAGCACTTCCACCTCCCTTCCCCAAGGACTGAAGTTAACACTTATGCAACTAAGGCCCTTGAGATCTCAAACCAAAAAGGAAAAATTAGTCTAGAGCTGGTGTTTCTTCACCCTTGAGCCTGAGCTTTTTGGTACTTACTTCCAATCACCACCACAATAATGGCACCAATCACTCCCATCATGATCATCATCTAGAGAAAAAGATTGTCAAAGAGCAATACTCAGAACAGATGGACAAGTTCACATCCTCCCTGATGGCCAGGGAAAGTAAGCGAGACCCTGAAGGCATGGCAGCCAAGGCCTCAAAGTCTTTCCACAGTGAAAGAATCTTAAGCATTTGAAATGGTCATTAAGCCCCAAGTATACTTGCAAAGTCCTGCAGAAGAGGAATAACCCAGTTTCCCCTCTGCTGAAGGAGATCATGGCACTAGGAAACTCACCTTACAGTTCTTCCACCAGTACTTCCTTTTGAGTTTTGCTGCGCTACTTTCAAATATTGAGGCACCGGCCTGAAGTGCATCTGCCCGGTCATCTAGCTCTGACAGTTTCTGGTCTCGTTCCAGCACCTTGTCTACATTTACACACATTATATCAACCACCTGCAGAAGGAAGAATAGTAGCAGCGGTTGTACTGGTAAAGACGGTTAAAAAAAAGTAAGAAGTCGGCCAATAACTAACGTTTAAACCAGGTCTTCAGCCCCCCATTCTCACCTGCTTTTAAAAGCTCTCAAATTCAGCAGCAAGCCAAAGCCACCCTCTTCGCGAGAGGAATGATATGCTCACTCCCCGGCAACTGCAAAATTAACTTAGGAGCTTCCTGTTGCTGCCCCAGTGAGGCACAAAGGCGCTACTGCACGGCAGCAGCCAAGCTGCAGGCACCGACCCCGGGAAGCCAGGCAAGGATCCCCCCACATCCCACCGCACACACACTGTTCCCTTGAAGCAGCAGGCAGGGATTAAGAGCTGTCCTGGATGCCGTATAGCTTTATTTCCATAAGAGATGCACGATATGAAGTACTTAAAAAAAAAAAAATCTAACTGGCCTGCTCTTTGGAAGTCATATCTAGAATTAAGCAGCTTTTAAACAAAAAACAGTCTCTCCTTCAGCCTCTTTATAGGTTTATGTATTAATGCGTTCCTGGCATTGGTGTGACATGAAGAGCCACCCCCGCACCGACAGACACCTGTCAAGAACATCGCTGCTGCAGAGCAGTGAGAGAAGAGTCCAGGCATCCTATGGGAAGCCAGCAGGGCTGAGCTACTGACCTCCTGCACCTGGGCCTGGGTCTGCTGCAGGCGGCGATTACTGCTCAGATTAGGGGGAGCCCCGGGGGGGCCTGCACCGGGGGCTCCCCCTTCAGGAGCTCCTCCTTCGGGGGCTCCCCCTTCGGGGGCCCCGGGAGCAGGCTGCGGAGCTGGGTCAGACCTAGGGAGAGACACACATGGGCAAAGAGGCCGCTCGACAGACAGCTCCCCAAATCTACACGAAGCCCCACGGGCCGGCACCTTCCCTGGATCCCTCGGACCGGGAGCAGGCGGCCTCGTTGGAGAGCCCGGAGCAGCGACAAGCCC